CCCCACCTCCCCACTCCCCGCCAGCAGTTGCATCTCCATGATTTATTGGATAATTGGCTTGGTAATTAATGAGTTGGAGCGGGCAGAGCCAGAAATCCCCTTGCCAGGTCCTGTAAATGCCATTTTTGGGGTGAAAAAAACCCACCTCTTTGGCAGCCATGGGAGCAGCCAGGGGTGGGAGGGGGGTCAGGGTGCTGGGGGGTGACAGTCCCCTCTCCCGGGTGCAGGCAGAGTGCCGGAACTTCATCAAGGTGCTGCTGGTGCACAGCAAGAACCTGCTCTTCGTCTGCGGCACCAACGCCTTCAACCCCGTCTGCGCCAACTACAGCGTGAGTCCCCTCCCCGGGAGGGGTTGGGGACACCCACCAGCCCCACTGTCACCCCCTCAGGTGACCCCACTGCCCGGGTGGCACCGCTCAGGTCTCCCCTGTTCACAGATGGACACGCTGGAGCCCGTCGGGGACAACATCAGCGGCATGGCCAGGTGTCCCTATGACCCCAAGCATGCCAACGTGGCCCTCTTCACAGGTGAGTGGTGGCACCACCTGGTGCCCTGCCCTCGGCCCCCTCCCCGTGCCAGGCTGATGGCCCTGTCCCACGCAGGGGGGATGCTCTTCACGGCCACCGTGACGGATTTCCTGGCCATCGACGCCGTCATCTACCGCAGCCTGGGGGACAGTCCCACCCTCCGCACCGTCAAACACGACTCCAAGTGGTTCAAAGGTGCCTCCTGTGGCCTGGTGGTCACCATGGGCCACGTGGCACTGGTCCCCCCATTGACACCATCCTGGGACACCCCTGACCCCACCACTGTCCCCCCATTGACACCATCCTGGGACACCCCTCACCCCAACACTGTCCACCCATTGACACCATCCTGGGACACTCCTCACCCCACCATTTTCCCCCCATTGACACCATCCTGGGACACCCCTGACCCCACCACTATCCTCCCACTGACACCATGCTGGGACACCCCTGACCCCACCACTGTCCTGCCATTGACACCATCCTGGGACACCCCTCACCCCACCACTGTCCCCACAGAACCCTACTTTGTGCACGCAGTGGAATGGAAGAGCCACGTCTACTTCTTCTTCCGGGAGATCGCCATGGAGTTCAACTACCTGGAGAAGGTGGGAGACACCCCCACGGTGACCCGAGATACCTGGAATGGGGACAGGGACAAAGTGACAGCCCTCAGGGTTGGGTACCAGGTGGTGACGAGTGTACACCCTGCAGGTGGTGGTGTCTCGGGTGGCCCGGGTGTGCAAGAACGACATGGGGGGCTCACAGAGGGTGCTGGAGAAGCAGTGGACCTCCTTCCTCAAGGCCCGGCTCAACTGCTCCGTGCCGGGTGATTCCCACTTCTACTTCAACGTCATCCACGCCGTGACCGACATCCTGGAGCTGGACGGGCGCCCCGTGGTGCTGGCTGTCTTCTCCACCCCTGCCAACAGGTTGAACCCTCTTGTGCCCCGCTGAGACCCTCAGGGCTGGGCTGGGACCTCGTGGCCATGGGGACACGGGGTGAGGTGTTCACCCCTGTGTCCCCTCAGCATCCCTGGCTCAGCTGTCTGTGCCTTCGACATGACCCAAGTGGCTGCTGCCTTTGAGGGACGTTTCCGGGAGCAGAAATCCCCTGAGTCCATCTGGACACCTGTGCCCGAGGACGTGGTGCCCAAGCCCCGGTGAGTGGCACGCTGAGGGGACAGGGATGGGGACAGGGATGGGGACAGAGAGTGGCCCTATGGGGATGGAGGTGGGGATGGGGACAGGGACAGCCAGGGCTGGTACCCGTGGGAAGGGGCATGGGGATTGAAGTGGGGAAAGGGATGGGTGCAGGGACAGCCAGGGCTGGTAACCCATGGGAAGGGGCATTGGGATTGAAGTGGGGACAGGGACAGCCAGGGCTGGTACCTGTGGGAAGGGGCATGGGGATTGAAGTGGGGAAAGGGATGGGTACAGGGACAGCCAGGGCTGGTAACCCATGGGAAGGGGCATTGGGATTGAAGTGGGGACAGGGACAGCCAGGGCTGGTACCCGTGGGAAGGGGCAAGGAGATTGAAGTGGGGAAAGGGGCAGCAACAGCCAGGGCTGGTACCCACAGGAAGGGGCATGGGGATTGAAGTGGGAACAGGGATGGGTACAGGGACAGTCAGGGCTGGTACCCACAGGGAGAGTGGTGGCAATGGGTATAGGGTCAGGGATGGGAACAGGGACAGGGATGGAGACAGGGATGGTGAGGGGCGGTGGGGACAGGGATGGGGACGGGCAGGGCCAGTACCAGCAGGTCTGGGGCCAGGGCTGGGGCCAGGCAGGGCTGGTGGCCAGATCCAGAGTGGCCCTGGGGGTGCTGAGCCGGCGGGCACAGGCCGGGGTGCTGCGCCTCCCCGGGGATGCCCTACAACTCCTCCAGCACCTTCCCCGACGAGATCCTCCACTTCGTCAAGACGCACCCGCTGATGGACGAGGCGGTCCCAGCCCTGGGCCACGTGCCCTGGATCCTCCGCACCATGAGCCGGTGGGTGCCCGGGGCAGGATCGGGCCCGGGGGGGGTGCTGGGTGCTGGGGGGTGCTGGGGGGTGCTGGTGGGTGCTGGTGGGTGCTGGCTGGAGCCTCTTGTGCTGCCCCTGCTCCGTGCGTGCCAGCGCCAGGAGACCTGATAAATCTCATCAACTTTGCAGCCCTGATCGTCTCGTCCTAATTAAATCTGCCTTAATTGCTGCTTGATGGGGAATTAATTAAGCGGCGCGCTCAGGCCGGAGCCTCCTGCCAGCGGGACAGCTGGGGGGCACGTGGGGATGGGGACTGGGGTGTGCGGGTGGGAACAGGGATGTGAGGATGGGGACTGGGATGTGGGGATGGGGACAGAGACATGGGGATGGGGACAGGGATGTAGGGATGGGGACAGGGATGTGGGAATGGGGACAGGGATGTGGGGACGGAGACAGGGATGTGGGCACGGAGACAGGGATGTGGGGATGGGGACAAGAGATACGGGGATGGGGACAGGGATGTGGGGACGGAGACAGGGATGTGGGGATGGGGACAGGAACATGGGGATGGGGACAGAGATGTGGGGATGGGGACATGGGGACGGAGACAGATGTGGGGATGGGCATGGGGATGTGGGGATGGAGACAGGGATGTGGGGATGGAGACAGGGACATGGAGATGCGGACAGGGACATGGAGATGAAGACAGGGATGTGGGGATGGGGACAGGGATGTGGGGATGGACACGGGGTTGGAGACAGGGACATGGGGACACAGCCCAGTACCCACCACGCAGGTACCAGCTCCGCAAGATCGTGGTGGACAACGCGGCGGGGCCGTGGGGGAACCACACCGTGGTCTTCCTGGGCTCCAGCACCGGCACCATCCTCAAGTTCCTGATCCAGCCCAGCTCCAGCACCAGCCCCGTGCCCGCCCCCCCGGGCAGCCAGAGCGTCTTCCTGGAGGAGTTTGAGACCTACCAGCCTGGGAGGTGGGTGCTGGGGGGACAGGAGGGTGGGGATGGTCGGG